CCCTGCTTGGACAGGGGGTTGGGCTGGGTGACCCACAGAGGTCCCTGCCAACCCCTGCCATTCTGGGATTCTGTGAGCGGCGCCGGAGCGAGCCGGGCACCACAGCACGCTCGCCGGCATGCCTTCACGGCCTTGCGGGAGCCGAAAGGAGGGCAGGAGAGCGGTGAACGTGCTCCTCCGAGGGCCGTTCAGCGAAGACGGCACAGGAGCAGACAGAGGAGAGGGCAGGGCCGTACCGCTCCTCCACTCCTGCTGTCTCGTCTGCATGCCTGTAAACCCAGCACGGCCCAAACTGGGGCTTGCAAGGACTCGGAAATGATAATCCCTTTATACTACTGCTGTGTCTGTGTGTATCTCTAGACATTACCCCCTAACCTTTGAGATCTGTAACTCTCTCCCAGAGGCCAAGAGCACAAGGAGGGGCTGAGCACGTAACGGCTGCGCAGGATGGGCTCTGCCCTGGCCTCTGTGAAATCTGCTCCAGTGGAGACTTCGCAGGCTGTTCCGAACCCACTCCAGCTAACTCTGCAAGCTGGTTTTGCCTGCCTGCCTTTAAATGTCACTGCTCTGATCTGAGGGTATTGAGCTACAAGCAAGGGGATGATGCTGAGCGAAGGGAAATAGAAGTTGAACATCAGGAAACACTTCATAACAAGGAGAGCTCTCAGACATTGACAGGTCTCGGCAGGAGGTGGTGGAAGCCCTACATTCTGCGCCATTAACATCTGAAAGGACAAAAGGCACTAGAGAATTCGGGGTAGGCAGGGGCAGCACCTCTCTAGGTCTGTTTATACATTGGAAATTCAGGTTACAAAATAAAGGAGTTGAGTCAGACATGGCAACAGCCCAATCCACGCTCTTCAGTCAAGACCCTGTTCCTACAAATTATACAGGAACACATTTCAAAGTGATTGGGATTATTTCTAATTTACAGCAGCCAGAGAGATCAGACTCCTCCCTTAAGATTCTGCTCAGTCATTATTTGTATCAAGCTGCCACAGCTGCCAATAATTCCTTCAGACTCCGTGCCCTGGCTGTCACGGCACACGGATCAGCTGCCGTTAGAGTCTGGCCACCCGTTCTTGGTCCCATTCGCAATTTACACCATCAGACCCTGCCTACGTGACTTCTTGGGGAAAAAAAAAATCTGGCCTTGGTAACTCAAGGATATTCGCATTTTGCAAATTGCTGACCCTGAAATTCACCTTCATGGGGCCATGCAGTACATCTTGAGGGATAAACATGACTTCTGAAACACACAGGCACAATTCCATGGGATTCAGTAAAATCCCTTCTGCGTAAATTAGCCAGGACGTACCCCCTACTTTTTCTATTTGTTTTAGGATCAGCAATATGTATACACTCCCAGTAACACCCTCTCCTTGTAAGAAAATGTGTACACACTTTGTATACAAGAACATTTCAAATACTTACTAAATATTTTTTGTTTGGTTTGGATTTTTTCTTTAAAAATCTTTTTTCCAACATATCGCAAAACAAGGGTAAATTTAGAAACAAAAACGCAATTTCAAATCCAGAGAGTCAACATCATTAGTTTAGAGATACTGAGGAAAAACAGACATTTCTTCAAATGAAAGATTTCAACGCGCTTCAACATTTAGCCTCGGTTGCCTGTGAAATAATTCACCAAGTGCAACATACAGTGGGAATTAGGGATTTTCTCTGTCTTGTGACCTGGCTGGATTTCTGGTGAAAAAAAAAAGTCTGAATTAATAATTTTTTTTCTCCTAGTTCCTGCTTTCTTGTACTTCGTGGTTTTTTCAGGTCGTCTCCAGGCGGCCTCTGCTGCACAGCCGGTGGCCGTGCTGCTATTGCTCGTCCGCACGGCCGTGCCCGC